AGCCAGCAGCTGTTTTCCAGTTTCTCCAATTTCTTGTATGCAAAGCTCAGTAGCTGAACTTAAAATTTTATGCACAGGTCTACATTAGAACAGATTTTCTACCCATACATCAACAGAAAATGAAACATTGAAGGAGGTCATTGTGAAGCAACTCAGCATTTCAAACTGATATGAAATGCAAGCTGCAAAAGTGAAGGTTATAACCCAGGTCAGTTTATTTTTCACCATCTATATCCCATTGCAGGGATTTCCCTTCACTTCCTCTCCCATAGCCAAACAAGAAGTAAGAGATAATCCCCATAAATTATTGGAATTCCTTGGGGACCCGAAGGTCACTAGAACTAGTGTCCCTATTGGAAAATGTCACCTCTATTGCTTTTCTGGTGACAACTCAAAATTTGGGATTTAATTTACTTTCACATTCGATGATAATAGTAAACAGGACAAATAGAGAGAGTGAATCTCTTTAACAGGTACAGACAGCAATAAAAACCTAATAGGTGTACTAATCCATCTCCACTCTGTCCAAAAGTAAAAAAAAAAATTGCCTTTAGTTATACTTTAATCATGGACAATGTGCCTAAAAGAGAACAGCTACTGTCATCAATAATATCCCACAGTACTCAGAAAATCCTTTATCAGGGTGTTCTCACCTGTAGGTGTTTCCCAGGTGTGAAACATTCATTGTTATATATAGGCGTGAAATAAATATCGCACAAGTATATGATAAAAATACACTGATATAAAACATTCGTTTAATGCAGTATAAGCTCAGAAAGTATTAAAGCAGTAAACCTTCACATATACCAGTGAAGTGACTGGCCTGAGGTGATACACAGAGATGAAACAAAATCCTCCTACATAAGTTGTACCTGTTTATATGAAATATTCTCTCCTCTACATCAGTTCAAAGTCCAGAATTTATAAAGCTTGTATGAACTTTCAGAAAACAGGGAACAGACAGCTGACATTACACACTGCAGAGCTTAGTGAGGAGAGCTCTGAAAGCTAATTGGATGGAAGGGAACCCCCCCCCCCCCCCCTCACACACACACATTGCACAGGAACAGAGCCGAAGCTATCAATCTGCTGGAGGTCCCTCCTCTATCACCATTTTTCTCTTGTCAAGGAAACTTGTCAGAAGTGAATCGTGCTGACAACAGACAGAAATGACACTTAGTGCTCTGGATTGAGACAAGTACACACTATAGAGAGATATGCTTTGTTCATATTTTATGTCTGAGGTTTACAACCACTTCAAAATCCAACTGACCCAATACCATTTCCCTTTCCGACTTTGTGCGATTTGTGGCTGCTCTGAAATGTAATTTGCAATAATATCTGGTCAATGTATTTTAACATATATCCCTTTGTCACCTTTGGCTGGCAGGGGATTTTACGTTTTTCTTTCTCATTGGCCAGAGGAATATGGACTGTCTAATCCTAATCAATACTCAAAGGAACCTGTATTTGTGATCGAAAATAAAGTTAGGCCACCTTAGAACAGAAGGACCCACCCATCAACACAGTTACTTTAAAGTGGTATCAGGGGCGGACTGACCATTTGGAAACTCGGCCAATCAGTGATCACATGATCGGGACCTCACACAGAGGTCCCGTACAGCGATTGGTGTTCCGCTGTGTCCGGAGGACACAGCTGGCACTGGATCGCAGTGCTGCGCACTCCCATAGAGCGCGCACAGTCCAAAATAGCGGGCACCATTTATGAACGGCAACCCACTCCTGCACTGCCCCCGTCCGGCCGTTTATATACATGAGCCAGATATGAAGTGGTTAAACTATTGCTTGAAGGACAGTTTTTTGTGGGTCCTTATTTTAAATGTGCTGTGACACTTATATTATATAATGCAAGTCATAGTTTTTGTTAATGTTAATATACCCCAACACAGGCTATCCCTGCTTCAGTCTATCCTGAACTCAGCGGCCAGACTCATCCACCTTACCAACCGCTCCACTTCTGCCACCCCCCTCTGCCAATCCCTCCACTGGCTTCCGATTGCCCAATGCATTAAATTCAAACTACTAACATTGACATACAAAGCCATTCATAACGCTGCCCCAAACTACCTCACCGACCTAATACCCAAATACCACCCAACCTGTACTCTTCGCTTCTCACAAGACCTCCTACTTTCTAGCTCCCTGGTCTCCACCTCCCACGCCCCACTGCAGGACTTTTCCAGGACTTCCCCCATCCTCTGGAACTCTCTACCCCAATCCATCAGACTGTCACCTACCCTCCTCACCTTCAGGCGCACCCTGAAAACCCATCTCTTCAGGGAAGCCTACCCCACCATCACCTAACAGCCGATCTCCTCCACTTGTCCTACCACTCCATCCCCCACAGCCACTTCCTCCTGTACCACTATCCCCGCCCTCCTAGATAGTAAGCTCGAAAGAGCAGGGCCCTCGAACCCCTCGTGTATTGTTTTGTTACTGTATTGTCTCATGTACTGTCCCCCACTATAATGTACAGCGCTGAGCAAACCTTTTGGCTCTATATAAATACTGTATAATAATAATAATCTGCCATCTTGTGGACATTTTATTTATTGGACCCTCCTTTTCTGCCTTTCATCCTGTCCCCTCCCACTTGCTAGTGATGCATTTCCTCTTCCTTCTTCACTGTCTTCTTGGGATGAATATGGCCACTTGTCTCTAGGCCACATGTAATCTGTTCTGCTTCCAGGGACACATTACCATGTTTTGACCTGCAAATACCATCTTTTCAATAATCTGCTACATCTTGTTGTCTGCTGTACCTTCTGCATTGCAATAAAAGATATATAGATGAGATAAAGGTGTTTGGTGAGTTCCGCTATCTGATAAAGACTGTCCGCAGTTGTACAGGCCAGGCTAGAGGTCTCAGCAAGGGATAATACAACAGTTGGAGTCAGAATATTAAATATCACAGACTTCAAAGTAAAGAAAGCCACAAAAACAAGCCGATGTTCCGAATAATGATTTGACCATAGGAAAGCTCTGTATAGCTTTACCACCCATACTTCCATTAAGAAAACATATAACAGAGCAAATCCTGATCTGCACCCTTAAAGAGTAAGCATCTGACTATTTGTCTGACATGTTAAAAACGAGATTATCCTGACACGTGAGTTGTTCAGGATACTGGCCTAAGCTGACACAAGACTGACAGGCCGCAAAAGTCTGAAAGCCCTGGAAACTTCTAGACAAATACCCGTAAGTCGGTTATGGTCATGGCTCAAAGGCTTGCAGGAAAAAAAAGATTAGCAATCACATCAGAGGCCGTGCTTAAGCCTTCGGAATACAGAGCTCTAATCTTCTCAGAATAAAGAGAAGTTTGTTAAAGACGCAAAAAAAAAAAAAAAAAAATGCCGGACCAAAAAAAAAAAAAATACATAAAACAAAAACAAGCAGCCACTGACAGGACGGGTGACTGGTTGGCATGAATCGAAGGCAATGACTGACGAGACGTCACAGACTGAACACAAGCTAGACAAGCCAGACACTTTCCACATTTCAACAATACACCTACATACAGAACGGGGCGATCACAGACCAGGACAAACAATACCAATAACACAGACGGACTAAAAATACATGGAAGGCAAAACAAGGGCAAATTTTTTGGTTCTCTTTTACAATTTTTTCAATACTTTTTTTTTATAGGGTTATATGAACACTTTGCTAATATTTTTGTTGGCTAAGAATTATTTTGTTTTTCATTGCGTTGGCGTAAAAGTACTTACATTTGGCCAGCAACAAAATATGACAAAGGAGCTTTAGCCTTTTCGCTGCCAGAGCCACTTTTGTGAGGGTTTTTTTTTGCACACATTTAAAAAGTCATTTTAGGCCTGAAGATTGCAAAAACCCCCAAAACATTATACATTTTCTGAAAGCAGACACCCTAGAATCAATCATGTGGCCCTCGGATCTCTCTGATGTGACCCCAAACTGAATGAAGATGTTTTTGGTTCACTTTCAGAAAGTGCACTACCCGCAAGATATAATAGAAGTCTATGGCAAAGTGCAGCTAACTCGCAGGAAAGGCGCAGGTGCACTGTGGGGCAGGGGCGGACTGACAACTCATGGGGCCCCCAGGTAATAGGGGATCATGGGGCCCCTGTGTCCTTGCCCACACTCAAACCACACCCAAAAAGCCTATGAAAAAGCCTATGAAAGGTACCAGGGGCATCTCATGGGGCCCACTACTGACCCCGGGCTCTTGGGCAGCACCCGAGTGTCCAAATGGTCAGTCTGCCCCTGCTGTGGGGGTAAACTACAGCGCATCAGTGTTAACGCAGCCTTATAGGGGGCTTAGGACAGTAAGGGCTCATTTGCAATTGCTGTTTGGGGGGGCAGTAAAACCCCATAGTTAAGACATGTTTTTACCCCCCAACCACTGGTGTAGTTTCAGGGGTCCCTTCCCCATGCTCCAGGGGGCCCGTATGGCCTCCCTGTCATATTCTGTTTTACGCTCGGCGGTGGGGGCAGCTTATACAGGAATCAATTCTCTCCATTTTCTTCTTGAAACCACTGAAAGCCGGCTTCTCCTCCCCTCCCTCCGGCCAGAATTCAGCAGCTGCAGGAGGAAAATGTTCATTATGCTGTTCAAGATAAAAAATTGGAGGTTTGTACCATTTCATTTCATTCTTGCCAGGAACTCTTTACCAAATCACTTAAGTGGCCTTCGCTCTTCAAAAGGTTGAGCATCTCTGCCCTACAGAATATAATAGTGGTAGTTGCAATTTTTTATGTCACACAATATTACAGTAAAGGTACAGAAACACAAAATGTCAGTAATAAATACACTAAAGTTAATTTTAGGGCACACAAACGCAATAAATTACCCAATTTTCTGGTAAAATATAAAGTATGAGATTGCACCGAGTAAATAGATACCCAACATGTCAAACCTTAAATTTCTGTGCGCCCGTGAAATGGCGACAAACTTCAGTACCTTTTACTTTCCATAGGTGATGCTTTAAAAGCTCCTACAAGTCATCAGTTTGGCATTATGGTGGAGATCTGATGGTAGAAATATTGCTCTCATTCCGGTGTGCCTGGCGATAGCTAACATGTGTATTGCAATCGACGTTTTCATGCATGCGTACCTTTTATATGCTTTTATGGGTGTGCTTTGAGTGTGGGCAAGGACACAGGGGCCCATGATCCCCTATTGTCCGGGGGCCCCATGAGTTGTCAGTCTCCGCCCCTGGTCAGTGGAGGAATAGTGCCCCATCAATGGTGTCTGTCAGTGAGAGGATTAGTGGCCTATCATTGGTGTCAGTGGAGGAATACTGCCCCATCATTGGTGTCAGTAGAGGACTAGTGCCCCATCATTGATGTCAGTGGGAGGAATAATGCCCCATCATTAGTAACAGTGGAAGAATAGTGCCCCATCATTGGTAACAGTGGAGGAATAGTGCCACATCATTGGTGTCAGTGGGAGGAATAGTGCCCCATCATTGGTATCAGTGGAGGAATAGTGCCCCATCATTGGTATCGGTGGAGGAATAGTGCCCCATCATTGATGTCAGTGGAGGAATAGTGCCCCATCATTTGTGTCAGTGGAGGAATAGTGCCCCATCATTGGTATCAGTGGGAGGAATAGTGCCCCATCATTGATGTCAGTGGAGGAATAGTGCCCCATCATTGATGTCAGTGGAGGAATAGTGCCCCATCATTGGTGTCAGTGGAGGAATAGTGATCCATCATTATTATCAGTGGAGGAATAGTGCTCTATCATTGGTGTCAGTGGCAGGAATAGAGTAAATGATGGCCCTAGGATTATTGCTGCCGTTCATGTCGATACCTTACATGTGTGATGTAATCTCTGTGTACATAAAGTATGCATGTGGGACCTACGTGCACGTTTGCATTTTCATGAATGTGCGGGAAGGACAGGGATGCATTTAATTTTTTTTTACTATTTTTATTTATTTTATTTAAAAAAGATATTTTTTTTTACATTTGTCCTTTTTTTTCTTTCATGTAACTCCCTCCAAAGCAGCTAATCAAGCGCATATCATGCTTGGTTAGCTGCAGTCTTGGCTGAAACAGCCAGAGAATGACAGCTCTGGGAATGAATGACGGCTCTGCGACCTGGAACCTGAAATGACTGAATTGATGTTTCTGACTTCATTCATCACAGAGGGATCCATTACCTTATTGTGAAGGGTTCACAGCTGTTTTCTTCAGTCCTGGGATCCCCAGTGGAACAGGAGAACCTGGAAACCACTGTGGGTGGCTGTGGTAGGGGAGGGCCCTTGTTGGTAGCCCTAGAAGTGCCGATCTCCAGTTGCAGCCATGGTCATGTAATAACCACTTGACCACATGGCGTGTATATACCTACAGCGGTTAGCAAGTGGGTAAAATGGACAGGAGAAATGACAGTTAGAAACTGACAGTTGTAAAGGCATTTTTCCAAAAGCAGGAGCTTCATACATCGCCTTAGTTTATTAATTAAACGCATGCAGGATGAGTAGTGATGTGCTGTGTCCCTTTTGGTACAAGGAGCCTACAGTTATTCTTTATATAGATTAGAACCCGCAGTGGTCTTTTAAAACAGCAAATTTTATTGTGGTATGTTACCATGACAGCTTTGACTGTACCTGCTTGCCAATATTTTATGCTGAGCGCTTATGAATTAATATGGATCTCTGTATTATCACTCAAATGAAATACAATAATGGCTTTCAAGGAATTGTGTGTACTCAGGAAATGTTTTATAACCATTCCATTTTCAAGATCCTGTTCATTTTTTTTTTTTCTTCGAATGTGTCTAGTGTTTACAAAACAAATCATTTTCTTACCTGTCTTTCGTTTAAAGCAAAACTAAAAAATATCAAGATAAAATGATTGGCCCACTGAAAGTAATATAATAATACCAACTTTAGCTGCAATATTCACTCTCAATCTACACATTTTCCCTGCAATATTATTTTCTGCCACTAGATGTCCTCAGTCTGATTCACCTCACTTTCTCTGTGCCCAGGTCATCATGGATCCACCTCCAGCCTGTGACTGGACAATAAAAGGAAAAGCAGCACACTGATGAGCTCATCTCTCTGTCACTCTGCTCTCTCCTCCTATCAGCACATGCACTGATATGCTTCTTGGACTGCTTCTCCCTTTCACACTCCTGCCCTTCTGTGCAGGGACTGCAAGAGGCTGATATCAGATCACATTTAGGTTCCTATACTGTTCACATTTACAAAATACATTTAACTATGCGCTATTTAGTAATAATCTGAAGTGTTAACATATATATATTTTATGTTTGTATTTATTTACTTATATAGTGCCATCAATTTATGCAGCGCTTTACATATATATTGTACATTCACATCAGTCCCTAACCCCAATCTAAGGTTCCTAACTCAAATTCAAACATACACATACTAGGGCCAATTTAGACAGGAGCCGTTTTACCTACCAGCATGTCTTTGGAGCGTGGGAGGAAACCGGAGTAGCAGGAGGAAACCACATAGGCAAAGGCAGAATATATATATATATATATACATATATACAGATTATACAGTATATAAAACCCCTTTCTGCCCAGCCCTAGCATTTCTCTCTCTCTCCTCTTCTCTCTCTCTCTTCTTTCTCTCTCTCTCCCCTCCTCTCTCTCCCCCTCCCTCCCTCTCTCCCTCTCTCCCTCTCTCCCCTCTTCTCTCTCGCCTCTTCTCTTTCTCTCTCCTCTTCTCTCTCTCCTCTTCTCTCTCTCCTCTTCTCTCTCCTCTTCTCTCTTCTCTCTCCTCTTCTCTCTCTCCTTTTCTCCCTCTCTCTTTCTCTCCTCTTCTCTTTCTCTCCCCCTCCATCTCCCCCCTCTCTCTCTTCTCTCTCTCACCCCCCCTCTCTCTCCCTTCCCTCTCTCTCTCTCTCTCTCCCCTCTCTCTCCTCTCTCTCTCTCTCCCCCCCCTCTCTCCCTCCATCTCTCTCTCTCCCTCCATCTCCCTCTCTCTCTCTCTTGCCCTCCCTCTCTCTCCCCTCTCTCTCTCCTCTCTCTCTCCCTCCCTCCCTTCATCTCTCTCTCCTCTTCTCCCCCCCCCCCGTCTCTCTCTCCCTCTCTCTCCCCTTCTCTCTCTCTCCTTTTCTCCCTCTCTCTATCTCTTCTCTCTCCCTCCTCTCTCTCTCTCTCTATCTCTTCTCTCTCCCTCCTCTCTCTCTCTCTTCTCTCTCTCTCTCACTCCCTCCATCTCTCTCTCTCTCTCTCTCTCTCTCTCTCCATTTCACTCACTCAGTATAATTTGTGACAGTTAATTGTAATCCTAGTGATTAGTTCATCTTTGCTGTTTGTCCGATCTGTCAAGCTGCCTTCCAGATTATTTTTCTTTGGGTCCTTAATGGCAGTTAATGACAGTTGGAAACTATATGTTGTGATTTTAGCAAATATTTGTTATGAATCTTTTTTTTTAATTCAGTAAAATAGTAAAGCAGTGGCAGGCAGTATCCTTTCCCTAATGATGTATGTGTATATTCGGGCACACTTCCCCCTCGCTGTCCAATGAAACGTGTTACAAGCTGTGCGCAGGCCAACAATAATAAATAAAGTCTCTGTGTTAAGTATTTCAGTGCAGATTTCCTGGCACTCCGATGTATCTGGCTGCCTGAACAGAGATTCGGGCCATAATGCGTGCCACTTTATCAAAATCCAACAGTATTGTTGTTTAAAATGGAACTTTACTTTGCTGGGGAGCTCAGTTTTGTAAAGCGGAGAAATAACAAAATTAATGATGGAAATAATATTTATTGCCTATAGTTTTTTTTTCATCCTTATGCATGCACAGGTTCTTAATGCATTTCATTTATCCAAGTGTGAAGTTAAAGAGACCCTGATGAAGGGGTCCTGCGAGACTCTGAAACGTTGCCTTGCTGTAACTATGTGATGGTTTATTAAAACCTTTGGACCCATATTGGTGATCCTCGGTGTGCTGGTGACATTTTTTCCTCGTTAAAGAGACCCTGTCACCTTGCCCATCTAGGGCAAAGTGACAGAGTCCCTTTGGAGCCAAACTCACAACCATCTTATATTCACCTTCAAAGCACTGATGCGCAACTGGCTGCTAGGCCTGAGCAATGGATCACAGTAGGAGGTTGTATGCTCCCCCATAACCAGAAGCCCCAGATTTTTTGCAGGGGTAGCCACAGATGGAGCAGCAGGGGAGCACTGTGAAGGAGAGTATAAGATGATCGTATGGAATGGGCAAAGTGTTGCAGTAAAAAGCAGAAACAAAAGAGCAAGCATAGGTAACCACACCTAAGAATAAATTTGGAACTATCTCGCTCAAAAAAAGGGGGTCTTTATAAGTACCTCACAATGGGATAAACACACAACACAAATCTATATAAAAAAAAATCCATCCAGTTAAAATAGACATTTTACATAAAAACACTCAATATCACGGTCTAGCACCATCATACAGTCTTTGAGTTTGTAATGAAAGAACAATAAGTGCATAGGATCGACGCATTTCACTGCTTTTGCTTCCTCAGGATCCACGCTTGAGACGAATCACTAGAATTAATAAAAATACAATAATAGAATCCAAATAACATCTTAACTTACATAGAACAACCAACAAAAACCAATAGAATAGGACAATACTAATAATAGCAAAGCAGCAAAAGTGGGGGTTGGGAAAGAGAAAAAAAAAAGGTGTTGCAGTTCCTGCAGGGTCCCGGTCCATCGAGTTTGCATGCAACATGTTGAGCAAATGTGCATCAGATCAACTTTTGGCTATGTTTTTGGTGTGCCCATAGGCATGCACACTGTGTATGAAGGGCATGTGTGCTTTAATGTACATCCCTGCACTGAGGCCATTTCCTTCCCTTATGGTGGTCAGCGATGTGAGTTCCATCTCCGCCTGTTCTGTTAATAATATTATTATTATTATACAGTATTTATAAAGCGCCAATAGTTCGCTCAGCGCTGTACATTACAAAGGGGGACAGAACATGTGACAGAACAATACCAATACAATGCAAAACATGAGGGGATTGAGGGTCCTGCTCTTTCAAGCTTACAATCTAGGAGGGAGGGGATGGTGGTACAGGAGGAGATAGCTGTGGGGGATGGAGTGGTAGGAAGAGTGGAGGAGGTCGGCAGGTTAGCAGGGGGTGGGGTAGGATTCCCTGAAGAGATGGGTTTTCAGGGTGCACTTAAAGGAGAGGAGAGTAGGTGATAATCTGATGGGTTGGGGCAGGGAGTTCCAGAGGATGGGTGACACCCTGGAGAAGTCCTGGAGGCGGGCATGGGAGGAGGAGACCAGGGAACTAGAGAGAAGGAGGTCTTGTGAGGAGCGGAGTGTGCGTGCTGGGCGGTACTTGGATATTAGGTCAGTGATGTAGTTCGGGGCAGTATGGTGGACGGCTTTGTACGTCAGTGTTAGGATTTTGAATTTGATCCGTTGTGCAATCGGAAGCCAGTGGAGGGATTGGCAGAGGGGGGTGGCGGAGATGGAGCGGTTGGAAAGGTGAATGAGTCTGGCAGCCGTATTCAGGATCGACTGAAGCTGGGATACCCAGCGGCGAGGCAGGCCAGTGAGGAGGGAGTTGCAGTAGTCGAGTCGTGATATGATGAGGGAGTGGATGAGCTGTTTAGTGGTTTCTGGGGTTAGGAACGTGCGGATTTTGGCGATGTTGCGGAGGTGGAGTCTGCACGAGTTTGTTAAAGATTGGACTTGGGGCTGGAAGGATAGGTTGGAGTCCAGAATGACACCAAGTACTCTGGCCTGCGGGGTTTGATGGTGGCGTTGTTGGATGTGATGGAGAAGTCAATGGGGGGTGGTGTCCGGGCTGTTATTGACTTGGATCATCTGAATCAGCCTGTGCCTCCTGTCCCTATTGCCAGCTCTGCTCGTTCCTGACTATTCTTACCTGTTGCATAACTCGTCATCTACCTGGACAATGACCATGCTCCCTCATCATAGGTACCCCATCCCTGCTGTCCCCAGTTGGGCAATCCTGAGAGCCATGAAATGGTGCCATCATGTAACTCAGATAAAAATGCAATTCCATCATGGTGACATTTGACCAAAGAATTCTTATGAATTGTAGAGCTTAAAGTGCTATTAAACCCAAAAGCACACAATTATTGTATTTCAACTTACCAGTTCTTAGATGTGATAGCTGCTTTTGTTTTCGTTTTAGGCTTTCTTTCTTTAATGGCCAGTAAGTCAATAATTTTTCAATGGAAAAAAACTCTCCTGCAAATGTATCAGTTAGAGTGCTGAGACAAACCATTTAACACTGACAGGGGTGCTTACAATAATCAGATGATCAGCTTCTATTTAGTTATGTAAAACTTTTTTCCCTAAAGGAATAAAAAACTGCTGTAACTGCCTAAAAAGTATTAGCTGGAGCTTGGTTTCACTTTGTTAGTTTCTAAATCTGCACTACCCTCCCCCCAGACTGACTAATGCTGCTGTCCAGAGGTGCCCCCTGTGCTCCTTCATCCAGAGTGGGGGCACTCTAATACAGGAGGTGTGTTACTGGCTACATAGCCAGGGGAAAGGAGATGGGAAAAAAAACCTAAGAAAAGGAAAACTGATACAGCCACCACATTTAATGATTGGTAAGCTGCAATATACTACATTTCTGTCTGCGTGCTCATTTACAGTGTCAGCTACACATCATTGCTCTGGACAGGTTTTCTGATTTTGAAAACGGTGGACCAAGCCTGTGTATTGGCCAGGGCTGCATATGACAGGGTGACAACAAAGGATGACAACTGAGAGACACAGGCTGTGCCTGAACAAGGATCTTCATGGCACGGAGTTACCAGGTATACAGTATTGAAAATTGCAGATTTAAAAAGTTTGAACATTTTATTTTCAAATAATAACATGATAAAGCTTAAAGCGGTATTAAACTCTGCTTTGTTGTTTTTTATTTATGAGCCCCAGATGGTTGATGCCATAATGTGTTGGTATGCACCTTATATTGGCAAATTTTCATATTATGACAGACAATACCTGTGAAACAAAGCCATCCAATGCTGAGCTGTCACCATTCCTGGTGCTTCTATCTTCACCTTGGTCTTTGCCATCTCTGGGTGCCTGAATGACCAAGCAGCAATGACTTCACTCCTGCACATGTGCACTGGAGTCACCATCGTGGCACAGCGCTCTCTGCAATCACGGCACAGGCAGCGTGCTATGACTGCAGAACCAACTGCATAAGTGTAAGTGATATCATCGGCCGGAGCCGACATCTAAGTCTAATAAATGTTTCAGCCAGGGGCGGACTGACCATTTGGAAACTCGGGCACTGCCCGAGGGCCCGGGGTCAGTAGGGGGCCCCATGAGATGCCCTTGGTACCTTTTTCATAGGCTTTTTTGAGTTTGGGCAAGGACACAGGGGCCCCATGATCCCCTATTGCCCAGGGGCCCCATGAGTTGTCAGTCTCCCCCTGGTTGCAGCCTAAGAAGATTTTAAAGGCACTTTCCAACAACACATACAGGGGAATATTTACTAAAACTGCAGCACTCAGAATCTGGTGCAGCTGGGCATGGTGGCCAATCAGCTTCTAACTTTAGCTTGTTCAATTAAACTTTGACAATAAAACCTGGAAGCTGATTGGTTTCTATGCAGAGCTCCACCAGATTTTGCACTCTCCAATTTTAGTACATAACCCCACTGTATTTGAAGCCCTAAAATGGAACTATATGCAAAACCCCTGTCAGTTTTTCTTTTGCCATCTGTGTCCCATCGCAGAGATTTGTCTTCACATCCTGTCCCATAAACAAACAGGAAAGGAGAGGAAATGCCTGCAAATTAACGACTTCCCATCCACCCTATAGCAGAAATACTGCTACAGGGCATCATGGGTGCGCAAAATCACGTATATATACGTGACTTTGCATTTCCTGGTAGGGGGGGCGTGCGCGCTTACCCGCCGGCGCCGATGATTGCCGAGCGTATCCGACGGGGGGGGGGGGGACTAATAATAAACGAAACAGTTATCCTCCCTGTCAGCTCCTGCACACTGCTTTGCATGGCTTCACAGCACAGCCATGCAAAGCAGTATGTTTACACTGAAGCACCAACACAGGACTCCATGTAAGACAGCACACAGTTAACCCTTTGATTGCCCCCCTTCCTGCCCAGTGCCATTAGTACAGTTTCAGCGCTTTTTATTAGTACCGATCACTGTACTGGTGTCAATGGAGATGTCAGTGATACCAAGTCATTTCCCCCCAGTGTCAGAATGCCAGCTGCAGTCCCGCTATAAGTCACTGATCGCCACTGTTACTAGTAATAAATTTTTACAAAATCCCAGTATATATACCGCCATTTGTAAACGCTATAACTTTTACATAAACCAGTTCATTTACACATATTAGGATTTTTTTTTTTTGCACAGACATGGAGGCCTAAATTTATGACAAAATTTGATTTTTTTTTATTTTTTTACTGGACATGTTTCATAGCAAAAAGTCAAAAATATTGTTATTTTCTCAAAATAGTAATTTTTTTTTTCATAGATCAAAAAATAAAAACCGCAAAGGTGATCAAATACCACCAAAAAAAACTCTATTTGTGGGGAAAAATATAACATAAATTTCATCTGGGTGCAGCGTTGCATGATCACGCAGTTGTCAGTTAAAGTAACGCAGTGCCGTAACGCAAAAAATGGCCTGGTCAGGAAGGGGGGTAAATCCTCAGGAGGGCATGTGGTTAATGTACATACCAAGACAGGATGGAGATGACATATATTGGAGGGGGGGGGGGGTATGTGAAAGGCTTAAAACAATCCCACAACCTTGGTATCCACTGATCTGGAACTAATGATGATACCATTTATTCATTCATTAGTTCCACTTCTTCCACTGTTTCAGAGGAAGGGGCGGGTTCTACAATGTAAACCCTGTTTACACTTGTAATGGTTATGATTGGTCATCAATGCAATCACATGGTACTCGGCTCTGCACAATGTGTCTGTAAAGTGAGCCATCTAAATCATTTTGTAGCGAAAAGTCAAAAATACAGTTTTTTCCTCAAAATTGCTGGTCTTTTTTTTATAGAGCAAAAAATAAATCACACACAGGTAATCAAATACCACCGAAAGAAAGCTCAATTTGTGCAAAAAAAAGGACGTAAATTTCATTAGGGTGCAGCATTGCATGACCGCGCAATTGTCAGTAAAAGTAATGCAGTGCCGTAACGCAAAAAATACCCTGGTCAGGAAGGGGGGGGGTAAATCCTCAGGAGGGCAAGTACCCCCCGTTATGCCTCTGGAGGGCAACATAAATGGTATCAAAACAATCAAATCTACTCACAAATAAAGATAATATTTGAGATGTTTATTTAAAGTGAATAAATGCTTTTTGCACTAGCTCAGAACATGTGGAAAGAACCAGCCTGAAGGCATTAGAAATTCTACCCAGCTTGGCATGTGTTATTCCCATTAAATATGCGCTTCCCCATGTGAAAATCTCATTATTAGATGACACCAACCTCTGGGGATGGAGCTCGCGGAGTGCGCTCGCTGCACTGCACTGGCCGCCTTTCTGTGCTCTAACCAGCAGAAAAATGCTTTGCTAAGCACTGGCACTCTTTTCAGCCTGGCAAATTTTCTTTAGCCATTTACGACCACGCAAAGCCTTTTCAGTTAACGGATAACATAACCAGTTCACGATGGCTGAATCAAATGTTGTTTAGCCGTTTAATTTGGCAACACAAAGCACCATAAATCTTTAATGCCACTGTCACCGGCTCTTCCAGCTCTGCATCTTTATATCAGCAGGGACTGACCTTGAGAAACTGAGAGACGAATGAATAATTGAAGAGATCCGAAGTTGTCAGATTGTCCCAGATTTTTTTGGTCTGGTCTTCACTTTTGCCATTGTCTGATCACAGGCCCGGGGTCACGTTAGAACTTAGGACAGGCCAGTCCTCATTTGTGATCACAAGGGTTTGTTAGATGTCTTGTAAATAAAAAGTTAGAGAGAGGATAACATATATTTATTTACTGCAGAAAATGCTGTTTCAGGCTACCTCCAATGCTGGTCATCTGACCAAAAACCTAGCACGGGACCAAAAACCTAGACATTTCATCATGTGAGGTCTGGTAAAGGGAAAAGGGAAAATTCCAGCAGGACTGTTGACATAGCTGTAGCACTACCCTCTTGAGGGCTGCTGGATTTGTTTTGGGTCCCGTGCTATGCACGACCAGGCAACAAGCATTTTTCCACATTCAGAATCAGTGAACAGTCCTTGAGCTGGTTTCTAGTTGTTTTTATTAAGAGGTTAACAACTTGGATGGGGTCTAGGGATATATGGGATGCCCATGGAACTGTAAACTTGAGGACAACCTATACACTGTACAAAAATGTGGATCAGAAAATAGCAAATAGCACTGTCTCTTTAAGGAGCACTAAAGTCTCCTTGGTGTACCTCCTCAGACCCCAAATAAATCCTTCCTCTTCACCCGGATGCACTGAGGGTATTCCTGAGCAAGCGATTCCAAGATCTGCCAGTTAAGTAGTCCCGGATGAGAACTAGTTGGGTCTTGCACCTTACCACCCTCTCCCTTTATCTGTCCCAGGGGGTGTAGGAGTACTCACAGTGTCCCGTTCTATCAGTGTGGTGGGTTGGTAGCTGCTTTTAGGCCTTTTACTGAGCTGGCTCCTTCCCTGCTGCTCAGGATGCCCTCCCTAAGAGATGGTGGAACAGTAAAGATCCTCCTGTCCAGCAACCAGCCTATAGGTAGGCTCCCCTCCCTGGGCCCCCCACCCATGCTCCACACTCAAGCCTTCTCTTAACCATCTTCCACCCAACTTCCCTGCTGCTCAGGCTCTTCCACATTTAAGGGTTGTCCTTGGTCACCATGCCCTGTCTTCTGTCTGGGGATTGGCCATGCAGATCTGGGCCTCCTCCCCTCCTCTGCCCCAGAAAGTTCTCAGAGTTTCTAGAAGGGTGGGAGGGCTCCAAAAGCCCTGAACTGTAGAGCCTCCTGGCTTGTCCTGAGGTGAACTCCTGCCTCTCTTCCAGGCTTACTCATCCCAGGCTGCTACCCAGCCTCTGTATAAAGAAAAATCCTACCTGGCTAACCTAGAAGGAGCTACATAGCTTTAACTTAAAAAAATATATTCTATTTCAATATGTATTCTTATTTCAAATAATTATCTTCTTTTGCCATCAGCTTTTTCCAGATCTGCTAAATCATTTTTTTTTTTTTTTTTGCTGCTGGAATCTGATTTTCTGTTATAGGATGGCTACATTTGTTGTACATAATCACACTCTATGAAGGAACATAGCCACCTTCTCTTGCTCACTTCTGAGAAGGACTATTGACTATGAGATGTGTAGTGCTTATTAAACAGTGCCCATGACCTCAACTAACACACACTGCTGCTTCCACACAAATGGAAATGAAGAAGAAAGAGAGAAGTTCAGGAGCTCACAAAGGACATTACAAAGAGGCAGAAAAACATACACTATATTGCCAAAGGTATTGGGATGCCTGCCTTTACATGCAAATGAACTTTAAATGCATCTCACGTCTCCACTGCTCTAGAGTCCAGTGGCGGCGTGCTTTACACCACTGCATCCAATGCTTTGCATTGCACTTGGTGATGTAAGGCTTGGATGCAGCTGTTTGGCCGTGGAAACCCATTCCATGAAGCTCTCTACACACTGTTGTTGTGCTAATCTTAAGGCCACACGAAGTTTGGAGGTCTTTAGCTATTAACTCTGCAGATAGTTGGCGACTTCTGCACATTGTGCGCTTCAGCATGCACTGACTCCACTCTCTGTTGCTATTGTTACCAGTTTCTTCCACTTTAATATAATACCACTAACAGTTGGCCGTGGAATATTTAGTAGCAAGAAAATTTCACGGATGAACTTATTGCACAGATGGCAACCTATCATGGTACCACGTTTGAATTCCTGAGAGCGATCCATTCTTTCACAAATGTTTCTAGAAGTAGTCTGCATGGCAAGGTGCTTGATTTTATAATCTTGTGGCCATGGAGGTGATTGGAACATCTGAATCCAATGATTTGGAGGTGTGTCCCAATACTTTTGGCAATATAGTGTATGTAGCAGTACATCCTTAGGGTTTGCTGACAAATTGGGTTCCCCTATAGTCCTGGGTTATCTATACCGTAGCGGTGTTGTTATCCCTTCCTCATGACAGTCGCGTGACGTATCGGTGGCCTCATCTTTGTTGTGTTGGTTGGCTGGTTCAGACTGAGGGAGCGGAGAGCCCAGAATAGGGAGCCGAGACTGTCATGAGGAAGGGATAACGACACCGCTACGGTATAGATAACCCAGCATCCAGTTTCCAGAGAGGGAGCCTCCTGTATACCTGTTGAGCTGCACCCATCCATCCCTTAAAGAGAACTCTGGCACCCTTTTGATCCACATCAGAAGCCCCAGGACCAACAC